CATACGTGTGCATACATCCTGATGACACATCTCTGTGCCAAATACTATGTAAAATGCCACAAGGTCAGCACACAGTGCCCAGCCCACTCTGTCTTGGAGAGCAGAGCGGCACTGGGATGGGGATTGATCCCAGCTGTACTGAGCAGAGCCAAGACCTGGATGATGGCCAGCCAGGAGCCCCTCACACATGCTTCCACGGGGAGCCAGTGTTAATCCAGTTTTTGGGAACCCTCTAAGGCTGGTGTCAAATAGGCGACCAAATAAGAGAAGGGAAGTTTATGCTGACATGTTGCCTTCCTGACCGAGAGGAGTTAGCTTGGGAATGAGGTGAGGAGGTTTGCAGGTTTCACAGGGAAAGTAGGAATCACCAACAAGTCAGAGGCACAGTCTACTTGGACCCTTGGCCCTCATCCACTGGAGGAGATAGAGGTGCTGTAGAGGTCTATGAGATCCCCACAAGTGTATCAGATGCCTTCCTACATCCATTTGCATTGATGGCCTTTGCCGCAGAACCACCAACCTCAGCCCCTTCCTCTGGCACCATCCCCACATCATCCCACACCACAGTGTTGTGAGTTTCATTAACACCATATACCTGGATGAGAGCTCACCTCCCAGCCATTGCCAGGCACAAGGCACAGGATGTGCAAATGCCAGGCCTGGCCCCAGGATAAACCCAGTGTCTCTCCTTCCTGCTGTCAGTGAGAGTGTCCCTAGGAGAGGCTGTGAGCACAAAGGCTCTTCATCAGCCCCTCCAGCTCACCCTCTCTGTTGGTTTAGCCTCCAGCACTGGAGCTGTGCACCAAAACCCTCTGGGGCTGGCTAGTCTGATGTGGGACAATTGGGGCAGTGTACAGCTGAGCCTTAGCATCCCTGGTGGGGTGGAAAATTCCCAGAGGAGCAGATGCATGTTCAGCAGCATGTTGATCCCTTTGATCTCAGAGCATAAAGCGAAAGAGATCGGTTATTGATTTGTGTTTGCTGCAGCTCTGGACTCTCCCCAGCCCCTTCAGATCCATGTGGTGTCTATCATGCTTTTCTTGTTCAAGCAGTAAAACTTAACGGTGCCCTTTCATCCCCACCTTGCAGAGGGCTGGCTGCAGCCTGCCTTATGCAGGGAGCAGCCGGACTGTCTGTGTAGTGGTGGGGCCCTGCTGTCCCCTGCTGGGCATCCCCAGCACGGCTTGTAGTGCTGCCCCAGGTTTTGAAACTCCAGAGGGCATGATTTTGTGGTTATAACATAGGAAGAGGGGGCACACTTAAGATTTTCTCTTTAGCTCTTCTGCTTATGTGGCTTCAGGCACCCTACTGCCATGTTTTTCTCTGCTCCAGGAGAGTAAGGAGATCTGCCAAGCTTGCCTCAGATGCTCTCAGTTCATTTAGACTGGTTTGGAAAGCTGCGGACCTCTCAGGTTACAAGGCAGAGCAAATCTCTGGATTGCAAGGTGTTTGCACCCAGTGAACCCACAGTTGCAGGTAGGTGCTTCCAATCAGCTGGGCCCATCTACCATTAGCTGGCTGCAGTGACAATCCATTTCCTCTCCACAGCAGATGACCTGGTGGAAGGAGGGCACAGGAAGGCAGCACGTGGCACCACTGCAAAGGCTCTGGGCAGCTGCCTGCTGGCTCCCTGTCCTTCAGTGGGCAAGGGAGGCTGTTGGTGTCAGTCTGTTTCAGATGGACACATTGGTGGAAGGACCTCTGCTGCCACTGCTCAGAGAGGGGACCAAAGCTGCCAAGCAAAGCTGCCAGACGTGGTAGTTATAGCTGAAGATGTGGAGAGAGGAGGGAGGGAAAGAGCAAAACCAGATTTCCAAAACATTGTACAAGGCAGTTTGGGAACTGTTTTTATACACTGGGCAAGCTAAGTCAAGCAAGTTTCTTCCAGAGTATGGGTTGTGGCACCCTATGCCCCATCATGGGCATCTCCACTCTCTGCAGTGCTCTTGCACCATCACCATTTTTCGGAGACAAACATGAGGTGTCTGTGCTGGTCCCCCACAGCCTTACAAGGGCAGCCACTCAGCACAGGTGCTGCACTGTGGCCTTGGTCACAGAAGAATGGCCACAATGGTTGTGCCACAGCAAAAATGACTTGAGCAAAGTGTGAGGAGGAAGAGATTAAGGCAAAGACTACCACCACCATGAAACCCTAACACTGAAATAAAATCCTCTCAAATCAACCCATAAATCACGGGAAGCAGCCTGTAAATGTGAATCCTGGCTGGCAGCCAAACTGCAAATGGCAAGCCTCTGAGCAAGAGAAGTGGCTTAATGCGCAGTGGAGACCATTGCTATTATGTGTCCTGGAACAGCCTGTGCTGGTGCATAGGTTTTGTAATGTTGGTTACAGTCTATTAAACCCCTCTCAGTCCTCTTCTGACTGCATAGCTCATTCCTAAAAACCTTACCAAAACACTCAAATGGCTTATAGCTTCATTGAGGGTATCATCTCCCCACTTGAACAGAGGCAGAATGAGAAAGGATTCTTCTACCAAGGAAAATCAGGTTCATGTGAGGTTGCTTTGTAGTAGCACTAGACAAAGAAATCCTAAATTGAAGGAAGGAGTGATTAAATGAGTGTTGGTAGAAGTCGTCTGCAGATACCTGTCCAGCTCACTCCATGCTACCCTCCTGGGTACTGGAGTGAGAGAAAGACCTAGTGCATGGAGAAACAGTGGGTGAAGACCTTATGTTACCCCAGGCTAGCGGTTTCCCAACGTGGGGGACAAGGACCTTCAGGAAGGCTAATATAGGCCCACTCAGAGGATGGAGGTTGGGCAGTAGCTAAAGGAACATGGGAAGGAGATGGAAAGTTTAAATTGTTAATGTATTAATCTGCGTTTTCCAAACAAATTCTGTCTCTCCATCACCACCACCACCGGCACCCATAAATTTACATTTATTTAAACCCCCGAGGTATGTTGCTTTCCAGAAAGGAAACATTGCTGTCAAGGGCACTTGGACAAAGTAATTTACTTTCTGAGTAAGAGCTCAGTGAAGTTTAATAAGAGCTCCAGAGTAACAGCCCAGCATGCTGCAATGCTCATGTTGGCTAAGGGGACCCCCATCACCGGAGGAGGCAGCAGCTTACTGCCTTGAGCAGTGCTGGGTGCTGCTGAAGGGTGGGTGCTGACAGCTCAGGGTTGCACTGTGGTGTTTTCTGCTTTTCATCAAGCCTAAGCTCATGGCTCTAAATGATTCTGAAACATTCTTATGTCTTCCTTTCATCTGTTTGCTCTTCAGGTAGTTTTCTAGTTTTCATGTTTGCAAAGAGACACCTTAAATTCAATGCATCAATGTTAAAAAAAAAGAACATGGCAGCAAGGAAAAAAAGCACCCAGACTGTTTGCACAACCTCAGGGCTCTTAAGCTGGTTTGGTGATTTCTGGAGGCAGAGGGTGTCCCTGGAACCTGCGGCAATGTGCTGGGGTGCCCTGGCTGGGCTTTTCCTCACTCTTCATGTGATCTTCCCTGCTGGCTGCCTCTGTTTTCCACTTTATGTTGCTCTTAAAAAGGAAGTTTTGACACACTAGTGAGTCACCAGTTGTGGAAAATGGGTAGTTCCTTCAAACACTGGAGATGGTGCAGGAGGACAAGAGGAAATGTAAACACCCAAAGACAGTGCCACTGCTGCAAAGCAAAGACACATTTTGGGTTTGCACCATTCAGCATTGCCCTCAGGATGCTTTGGAAGCCCTTCTCCAGTGGGCTTTTCCATTTTTCACATGAAAAATGCTCACTGCCCCCGAACCTTGTCAGCATTGCCTACTGGAAAATCCCTTCTACCCACAGTCTTGTGAGTGTTCAAAAAAGCACTATCAGCAGGAATTATAGACTCATTTCATAAGTTGAAGCATTTGGCTGCCCTGGGAGAATCCCAGTCTGAAATACAGACTCAGATCCTGTGGAAGAGAAGCTGTCACTGCGCCCTTGGACCAAGTCATCTCTACCCCTCGGACAAGTCAGTACAACACATACTGTCCAGGTTCAGCATTGTGGTGTCAGGCAGGTGAGAAGGGATCACAAGGGACAGGTTCAGCTGGTAGCTGCCTCCCCACAGGGCTGTCTGTGCATGAGCTGAGTGTGATTCACCCAGCCCCTTGCCTGCACCACTGCCAGCTTCACAGCAAGCACGGTGAGGGGCCAGGGCTTCAGTGACTCGCCAGACAGTGGCTGCAGCACAAGGTGAGCTCACTGACCTGTGAGCCTGCAGCCCAGTGGCACCAGACATCTGTGCTGGGACTGTGCTGTGCTCACATACCCCTCCCGCTGGGACTACCATGACCAGATGCTGTTGCCCACACCAGCTCTTCCCTGAGCAGCAGCATGTGGGGATCGATGGTGACCTCCAGCAAGATGCACCCTGTTCAAACACGTAGGAGTGTGGGGCTGGGGTCCAAAGCAGGCCAGTTCTTTCTTGTCTTGCCCTTCTGACACACCTAGGGCTGCCCCTCTCCTGAGGCAATGTGTCCTGCAGAGACAAGCCAAGGACCCCCAAGCTGTCTACCAAATTCAAGGCAAAGAGGTCAGAGTACCTGTTCAGCCCATTCTGCATGTTAGGACACTTGCAAGACCCTGATGCTGCTCAAATGGCTCTGATAGCTACAACACAAACCCACATTTCACTGGGGTTCCCAAGCAAAGAAATACAAATCTCCCTTGCTATGGTTGGCCAGAGTCTGTAGGACCTCTGTGAATAAATTTGATCTCTTTGTTCCTGTGGTTGCACATCAGCACAGACACTTCCCAAGCCATACTAGTCTGGAGCCTGGAGGAACCTGACATTGAGCAGCAGCCATGGCAGGGGACTGAGCTGCAGGGGGCAGTGGGGCTGGGGTGCCTCTTGTTGCTTGCCAGAAACGTGCTGCTCTCTTGCCAAGAACAAATATTGTCATCCTCACAAATGGTTAACCTGCCGGGAGCTGCACAGCACTAATGACTTCACATTCATTTAATCAGCTTGGGCTTCCAGAGCCTCCTCCTCAGGAGCAGGGAAGGCCATGCACCCATGCACCCGGGGTACAAATGCTCCCAAAGCCGCACCCCTGCCTTACCAATCATTAATCACGCCGGGCCAGCAAGGAGCAAGCGGCAAGCAAGCAGGAAAAGGCCAGGTCTCCACAGCCCCCACGGGAGCAGCAGGAAGCAGTGCTGACCAGTTCCCTGTGGTGGCAGCTCACTCTCTGACCACCCTCCCCTGGGAGGCCCCGTGGAGGTGGTCAGTCCTGCACGCACAGTCCTTTCCTTCAGGAAGGTCACTCGGTCCAGGGAGCGAGAGGCTCTGCCTGTTTCTGGGAGCTGCTGAGCTGCACATGAGGTGGGGGCTCTGAAGAGGAGTTTCTGTGTGGCTGTACCACAGTCTTCATCTCTTCACCATGCAGCACAAGGTGTTTTGGAGTGCCCTGGAGTACACCTGCCGATTGCTGGGCATCTCCACCGCAGCAGGTAAGAGGAAATTCTCTTTTTCTTTGTCACTAAAAGGCACTGAGTGGGTGTTGGGACCCCCAAGCTGCCTCCCTGCCTTTGGCCAGGTGCAGCCACTGCCCCATCATATGAAGGGGACAAGGAAACTTGCTCACTTTTGCTTTGGGACGAAGGGAGGGAGCATGCTGAGTGCCTGGCCAGGCTCTTTCCAGACACTGCAGGAGGCATAGTGAGACATCAGAAAGGAAGAGCCAGCACTCAGTATGTCAGAGGGCAAGATAAAGCACATATAGAAAAGAAAACTAAACCGTATTCTTCTAAAGCAGGCAGGGGCACAGTCAAGATGTGAATGAGACTGAAAAGCAAAATACTCATGGCTGTAAAAGACTACCAGGCTGCTCTGTGACATGTGAAGATGAAGGAAGAGCTCCCTGTGCTTTGTACAGTGAAATGTCCTGTGCCAGTCAGGATGGAGAGGTTCCATCCTAGTCATCACAGCACAGTTACTGCAAAAGCACTGCTCTGCCTCTCTAGTAACCTGTTGGGGAGCAGGCTCAGAGCAGTTCAGGTTATAGCTGCAGTGCAAACATCATAAATTCACGCACCTGGTTAGTTGCATCCTCTCACCCACTGTCAGGGGCTGCTTTGGACCAGGGTGTTCTGCGTTTGGTGACACATCCAAGCACTTGGTTTCAGGTGACATGCAGGTGTTTTGAGCCAGGTGTCAGACACAGCATCTCACCTAGAAGGGCTGAACAACCCTCTAACATGGATGATTCTAGATGGGATTAGGGGAAGAAACTAAAGCAGAGGGCTCAAGTGATGAGTCTGGCACTGATTCACTGTTGCTGACTCACTGTTACGGGACAGGACAGACAACACTTTCTGCCTCAGTTTCCCCATCAGTAAAGCAGAGATCAAGGTGCCTGATTTGTCTAAAGGCTGGAGGTGTGACACAGAGGTTCCTGGTGAGAAGTGACTTGAGGTGGTGCCTGTGGTTCCTGTTTCAGACCCCCAGGGATTTCATAATCAGACACTGTAGAAGAAATCACAGCAGGCCCTCCTACCTTTGCATTTCCTTTATCGACTGTGGACAGCCATAAAAGACACACTTTACTCTTGTCATGGGCAAAGTAAAAAGCACAGAGGTCAGCTGAAGAGTGCACAGGTCCCCAAGGACACGCAAAGCCCAGCTGGGACGATGAAGGCCCTGGAATGTGCTTCAAACAACTAATACTGATAACAAGCAGTGATTTGAGTCTCTGAGTTTACACAAACTCCCAGTAGATAAGTGCACATCATGATGAGACTGCAACAGTGGGAGCTGGGACACAGCTTTAATCAGCAAATGCAAATCTCTTCATTTCTCCCTCCCCATCCCCCTTGGGCTCCTATAAGTCCCATGCTGGTCATATTCTCACTTAAAGCTCCCAGGAAACTCATAGAGACCTTCCTGGGATAAAATGTGAGTTTGTTGCCATGAGAAAACTAAAGCTATAACAACAAAATTGAAAGTAATTTACAATGTGGAAGTGCGTTAGTGGAATATAATCTCTCTCCTTATTTTCTTTTCATCATTTTGCATCATCTGCATCTCTTTCTTTAGTTTTTCTTTAAATGAACAGTGCAGTTGTCTCTCTGCTGAGCATCACAGAGCATAGGACAGCTGTATGACCAATCTCTGTGCTTTTCCATACCTTTGGTGCATTCCTAGTATCACCTGACTTTCCAAAAATGCCATTGAAGGATGTGCCTGTGTTTTATTCCTCTATGTGTCTCAATGGAGTAAGAAATCAGCTTGATGCAGTATTCAGTGCCTGATGAAGTGTGTGAGGGTTTCGCATGAAATGGAAACCACACTGAAGAGACTCCCATGGGTTTTGTTTGAAAAAACTATGAAAGAGAGAGTGCATCAGCCTCACTAATTGATTCTGAGAAGGCCTGGCCAGCTCGATATGCTGCTAGTAAATACAGGTTATGCATAGTATAAACCTCCCTTTCCCCCAGGATCTTGGAGTGTAACAGCTGTCTGCAATGGTGTAGCTACAGGGTTTCTTCTGTATGAGAAAATGGCTAACTTGTCTTATGGCAAGTTAGCAAAATCAAATAGCCCTACAATTTGCTACAATATTGAGGTATCTCTCTAGTTCAGTGATTTTAGGCCTTGTGATATTTACATCTAGGAAAGAGTTCCTACTTACTTCTTAATTCTCATACTTTCAACCATTTAATTCCTAATCATGTGCCTTTAGCCACATGGTTTGGACAAAATCCAAATCAAGGCAGCGACTAGTCCAAATAAACACCTCGGAAAAAGCCCTTTTTTTCCCCGCAGATTCTTCATCCAAACAGCTTTGTGGATAAAGCAGAAACCGTACAAAATGAGGAAACCTCCCCATCCACAGCAGAGGCTCGAGCGTAACAGCCAAGCTGTTGAATTCTGCATTCATCCACAGGGAATAAATGAATAAATGAATGAACTCCACATTTGTAGGGAAGATTACAGAAAACAGTTCTCAGTCACAAGATAGTAGCGGACAATACTTTGCGTGTAGGATTACACAGCTCATGCAGCTTCACAGCCCTCTGATCAGAATAATTTCTCTGTGCTCTGCTCAGGGCTGGAAAGGCAGTGGAGGAGGGTGGCACATGGGCCCCATGTGTTCCCTTGGCTGACAGGGGCTAGCAGCTGCAGGTGACACAAGGAAAATACAGAGGCTCTTTGTTCAGCCCCAGTGGGAGAGCTGACCCTTGGTGTTGACCCACCCTGCAGTCTTGATGGACAGTGATGTGCATCCTTGTTTGGGAGCCTGGTATCCTTCTCCAGATGGGACAAACCACAACTCAGAGAAATGGATCCAACCTGCATCTCAAAACTTAGGCAGTGGGCATTGAGCAGGATCAGTGGTGAACTTCCTGAGCACCAGTGAATGGGTGGGGACTGCTCAGTGAGGTGTGGAGACATCAAGTGCAAACACAAGTGTAATGGTTGTCCAGAGTGATGCTCTGGCTGTAAAATCTGGGCTCCATTCATCTCTGTGCTGCTGGCACTGGTGCACTGTGACTGCAGCTGGTGTAAGTCACTATGTTTCTGCTCCATTTTAGAAATAGTCTTGAAGGAAACCGAAGGATGTTGAAGGAAATGTTCCATCTCCTGAAGCTATTGGCCAATCCATCGAAGACTTTAGCCTTATTAATACTCTTAATCCCCCTTAAACTGACTCCCTGGTGTGCTGCACTGGCTGGGGCACTGAGAGAATGTTCATTCTCTGTTTTTAATCTGCCTGCTCCCATTATGTTTTTCTGTTTGGCTAGCAAAGGATCTTGATGCTATGGCTACAGCCCTTTGTGAAGGCAGCTGACACAGTTCCTGTGTCCTGCTGCTGCCCTACAGCCCTGTGTTGGATGAAGCAGGCCTGGGCAAGCAGAAAGGGCAGGGGACTGAGGCTGGCAGGCACTGGGGGGACCTGGGCAGAGATGGATGGGGCAGTGGGCAGTGGGCCCTGTGGCAACAGTGATGTGGTGGTGTGGTAAAGGGTGAAAGGGTCACAGGTCACTGTTCACTTGCCCCATCAGTCCAAGGCCAGCTGGTATCCCCAGAGCACCTTTCCCCAGCCCACACAGTGGCAAGGCTGCCATAATAGTGGTGCTGCTGGGATGGGTTTCAGGGCTGTGTGTCAAGGCCAGCATTGAGCTCTGACTCCCATGGGCTGGTGTGTCAGCATGAATCACTGATGCTGCCAGTCCTAACGTGCTGCACTGCATGGGAGAAGCAGCCTTGCTTAGCCTCTGGGGAATGAGGGCATTGATCCTGGGAGCTGGTAGGGCACCAAGGAATCAGGAACTAACCCTGCAGTCAGCATCTTTCCTATCTTCTCTTTCTAGTGCTGATCGGTGTGGGCGTAGAAACTCTGCAGCGAGGACAGTTCAAAAGCCTGGCTTTCTATCTGCTGTGAGTATTTTTGCCCTTGAATTCAGAGCTGGCAGAGAGTGACACGGTCAACCCCTCCACCATATATGGCACCAGACCAGACTGCAACAACAGCAGGGAACAGTGTCCAAGGCTTTGGGGATTTCAGGTCTCCATATTGAGGTTTCAGAAAAATAAGCTATTTCTGGTAGAGAAAGACAAGCTACTGCAGATTCAGGCAGGCCAGAGGTGACACTGGCTGCAAGTTGACTGCGTGGGGACAGGAGGGCTGTGAGCTCTCCTCCACAAACTAGCTGAGCAGAGGGTGTTTGGACCTCAGCACACAGACTGTAGTGAACTGGATAGTAAATTCTGGTTCTCTGTGCCCCTTCTTCCACCTAGACAGCACACTTAAGCCCAGCCCTGTCCCCCTGACAGCTCCACCTTTCAGTTTTTCAGGGGTTGCAGTTACTGTCTGTGAAGGCTTCTTCTTTATCAGTTTGTTCCTGGAGATGTGTTTCACGTGAGTAGACCCTGTCCACTCTTCTCCAGCCTTGGTGGGACCTCCTAAGGCAACTTGCCTCTTACAGGCAACACCAGACCTGAGGGAGCTGCAAGTGCCAGACCAAAGGTCCTTTCCCTAATGCCATGGCAAGTGTACTCAGGTAGGGGTGAGGTAAGTGGGGCCGTGTCCAGCACCATTTACACCTGTGTTTTAAACCAGGCTTGTGCCTTAATTTGCTGAGCATCAGCACAACAAACTCTGCTCTCCAGCATCCACTTAACACAGTATGTAGGGACAAGTATGGGGGTTGAGGAAAGAGCCAGATCGCCAGGATGAGCTTCAGCTCCCTTCCAGAGACAGTGCAGAAATTAAAATTAAAATGTACAAAATCCTTATGTACTTTTCAGAGGCTGAGCACTGCCACTGTCTTCTAGCATAAACTCAAAAGCCCTCATATCTTAGAGGCAACACCTTACTCCAGCTACTCAGAGGCAACAACTTACTCCAGATAATACACACTTAATTAGTGACCAAGTGGGCAAACACATTGAGAGATTGCCTGAGATGCTGGCCTCTGGCAGATGCAGCCCCAGATTCTTGGCTTGGTTTACCTTCCCTGACCAACACACCAGTCTCCTGGAAAACCAGCGTGAAGATCTGCACATCTGGGTGGGTGACACTTAGGTCCAAATTCTTGCCATGTGCTTGGTGCCTCATCCCACAAGGACCTCTCTTTCTCTCCCCAGTCCCAAGCCTGAATCCCTGGCACAGGCCTGCTGGAAGCGAGCTAGACGCCCAGGGAGCTTCCAGAAATTCCTGGGGTACACGATGCTCTCAGTGGCTTGCTTCCTGCATCCCATCCTCGTCTGGCATGTCACCATTCCTGGTGAGAAGTTTGGGTGGGGAGCAGTGCAGACAGACGAGGAGCATGGTCTGTCAAGAGCCAGTGAGGGTGGGGATGTGTGGGGTGCTGGACCAGTGGCAGATGGTAGTGAGCTAGCCAGACCAAGCACTGTTTGGTGAGCTCTTCCCACCTGCCACAGCCCTCAGCCAACATGGCCTTTTCCCCAGGGTCCATGCTGGTGCTCACTGCCCTGGCCTACTTCCTGCTGAGCAAGAGGAGGAAGAGCCCAGGACACAAAGAGATGCATCCCCAGACGGGCCAGTACGTGGACCCTTCAGCCACAATGGCAGCCCCAACCATCGTTGGTGACACTGAGCAGATCTACACCTTCCACGGGGCCCAGAGGGAGCAGCACCACTCACTTCTGGGCCACATGAAGAGCATCCTGAAGGGCAGCAAGGACAGAAGCTCAGCCCCAGTAACTCCTGCCCAACCAGCAGCCATGTCAGTCCCTCGCAAGCAAGTGCACTTCCAGGAGAAGGTGGTGCAGATCATCCCCTCTGTCAGCGAGAGCTTGGAGGACATGGAGAGTGAGGCTGAAGAGACCACATCAGACACAACACCCATCCTCACACCACCAGATGCCCCCATCATCGTTGCTCCACTCAGCTCCACAGGGCTCTTTTGAGCCCTCAGCAGGAATGAGGACATGACAGACCTGCTACCCCTGGCACTGGTATTGCTCCCTGATGCTCCAGTAGCCAAAGGGCCCCAAGAAGTGGCTCTTCTTGCCCTCCCTGCGTCCAGGGTGGCAGCTGTGCCACTCCCCTTTTCAAGGGGCTGCCCACCCTACATGGTCCCACATGTTGTGGCAGGGCCAGGGGACAGGTGGTGGTTCAGCCAGGGTAGTGCAAGGACAGAGAGGTTTCTGCTCCCGTGGCCTCTCACATGGATCACCCCTCTGTTACAGCACTACAAATCACTGCAGCTGCTCCTGCCTAACATCACAGCCATGGCATGTGCCTCCCCTCTGGCAGCAGCAGGCAGGAAAAGCGGAGACTGACATGCCCCAGAGCAGCCTCTGCTGGGGCAGTTGTCTCCCTTTGGTCCTTTGTGCACATTGGAGAGCTCAGGGCTGGGACACGTTTGGCACAGGGCACTGCAGCCTGCAGGTTCCCTCACAGCACCTGCACCAGCTGCAGCAGCCTGGGATATCCAAAATGTCATTTTGGAGGTGGACTGGGACCAAGCACACCCCTGCTCAGTACCTCCCCTGAGACACACCCTGAGCCCAGCAGGGAAATTACCTCTGGCCTTGGGAGCACCTATGGGGCAGCAGGGAGCACCCTGGGGCTTTCTGGTGTCCCCTGCTTGGACAGACCTCTTGAATTAGGAGAGCTTTGGGATGATGTGTTAGCTCAGGTCCTGAGATTCAGCTCCACGCTGGCACGGCAGACTGTGTGCCACTCCCAGTGTGTAATTATGGCCCCTAGAGGGCAAAGGCAATAATAAAATTACATCGCTGTCTCACCAGTTCCCTCCATGCCAGCTCTTCCCTGAACACTTCATCTCTGGCATAATCCTAGCATAATTTCTGCCTCTTGAGGACCATTCCCTTATAATCAGGCATTTCCCTCCAGTTCAGCTTATATCTTTGGTTCTATCCCACCTGAGAACATGTGGGAAAGAACTCAAGTGGCTGGGTTTCCTTGAACATGGGACATTAAGCCACACTGTCACCCCTGTTGGGATGAAGAGTTGTAACTGTGCAGAGCTGAGACACACAGCATTGGGGTAAGACAACAGTAGAGAGAGAAGTTCCTTGAGACCTGCTAGACTATTTATAAGGTAGAAGCCAGTAATGCTGGCTGTTTTTCTTGAAAATAGGTTATTTCTTCTCTTTGAAATCTCACCTCTCCAAGTGACAATCATCATGCTCATTCAGGAAAGCGGTGTAGGTCAAAGTGTAATCAGAAAACACTTGAGATAAGAAACCAGTGGTACTTTTTAATAAACTCTTTTAAACTGACTTCTAATTTAGGAGATGGATGAGGAAGAAGGTGAAAGATGATGACTCCGAATATTTGACTGCCTGTGTTTGATAATGAAACGCTGTCAATAAGAGAAGCTTATGAAGGGTTGCACATGCTTGTCATTCCTACAATCAAACATAGACAAAACCTTTTTGTTGCATCACCAGCATTTAAAATGATAGCTGGTATCAATCTACTCTAAACATGATGCATGGATTAGAGACCTCTTTTTTCTAACTGCAGAATTTAACCTTCCCCCCATAATTGTGTGTTGGAGAAGAATCACGTACACATCTGCCTTTAGGGCAGATTTGCACCTGGAAAAATGTCTTCAGAAAATTGCACCTGGTTCTAGCCTAATGCTGCACAACTGATAGCAGCAAGCCCAGGATCCAACCACAGCTCCACCCCGACCTAGTGTGTTCTTCACATTAGGAAATAAAAAATAAAATTATTTTCCTCTGAAGTTGGTGACAAACAAGCACACCTGCACCCATGAAGGTCCTGACCCAGCCATGCTAACAGGGTACCCATCCTTGCCAACTGCCCAAAAAGGTTGTGCCTGGAGCTGGCTCCCCAGCTCAACTACACATCTGTTCTGCAATTAGAACTACTCTTATACAAAGAGTCAGCTTTCTGCATCATTCAAGGTTCTTCTTTGAACATTGCATAATTAATTACACACAGAGAGATAAACTTTGTTGAAAAGGCACCGCTCCCAGTGTATCAGGCAGTCTGCTGACAAGAAAGACCACAATTCTGCAGACTCCTCTCTAGCCCTCAGCAAAGGGCAGCCTGGGTGGGAACTGCTGCTCTGAAGCAAATTTCATCCTTCAGCCCTTACTTGATCAAGCCCTTACTTGATACACATGGGGCAGCAGGGCCAACTGGCAAGGGGAGAAGCAATGTGGTGAGAGCACCTGTGGCACCCTGAAGTGTGTGGGGTGCAAATTTCCTTGCTCTGTGAAATACTTAAAATGAGTTTGTAGTTTCTAGAGTCTGAAGAATTAGGTTTCAGTTTTTAGGCTCACCTTTTAAAAGTCTGTTGTAGGTTTCCCTTCAGAAGCAAGACTGGGGAAAGCTACAAGGTGAGGTGTTTTTTCACCCTTCATGGAGACAGCATTCAACCTGGTCGCTTTTCTTGCCTGCTCCCTTGTGTTGGCCTGGCCCCTCTCCAGACTCACAGTTAGTTGGCTCAGGAGATAAAGGCTAGGAAAAAAAACTGCTCATCTTTTCTGTGGTATTAAATTGACTGTTCAGTTAAGGTCCATAGCTGACTCACCCTGGAGTCAGCCAAGAGCCTGCATCAGTGCTAGGGAAGTGGATATTCCTTCAGAGGCAGACAGTTTGTGCCCCCAAAAGCACTAGAGGAATGTGATCCCACCACAGGAGCTGATCTGTTTCCTGGGTTGCCCCTGCCAAGAAGTCCATTTGTACCTCCTCTGCTCTGCTCCTCACCACCCATCCCACCCCTGGTGCCATATTCCAGCTCCATCAGCATACACACCTTGCTAGCCCAGAGGAAAAATAATTAGGAAAAAGAAAGTGGGTGGCTATCTTCTTGGGTAATGAGCCAAGTAAATTCAGGGAGGGCCAGCCACAAATGAAGGGGATGGGGAATAAAAGCACCTCTTTCAGAAGCAGAAGGCTGTTAGAGCAGCTCAACTGCTTAAAGAAACACAGCCTCAGGCTTTCTTTAAAATCGAAGTGCAGGGAAATGTTCAGCCTCAGGGGGTGTCAGATGACTTTGCAGAGGCCTCAGAGATTATTCACTCAAGTGTACACTTCTCTGTTGGCCCCTCTCCCTAAATCTAGCTGAGAGGGTTATCCCAGATGGTATTGAAAGCACCAGACATGCTGTGGAGGGCTGTGGGGGGTTCTGTATGAGAAAAACTCTCATATATGCAGGGTAATTGCAGGAAAAGAAAAAGAGGAAGCACTTGATGCTATTAACTGTGCAGTGCAGTAGTATCTGAATTTAAGCTGCTTGAACTGTAAGTTCACACAGCACTACATGAACTCTGCTATATAATTTTTGCCTGCATTGCAAAAATTCATTACTCAGCCGGTCCACTGAGATTAATTTACTGAGTTAGAGTGCATAAAGCTATAAACTCCTGTGGATTCACATACTGAAAGGAAACAAGATGAATCATCCAAACGAAATACATGTGTAAGGTAAAACTCTGTGAGGTAATCCTGGCAGAAATCGTTTCCTTCGAAATTTCCATGAAAGATATCCCTGCATGAGGAAAAATTTTCCTGCTTTGCACGTACATGTGTAGTGGAAACACTCTTCGATGCTACTTGACTATTCCCATCACCACTTTGTGAACTGCAATGTTGCAAACAATTACTCCATTTTAAGTTTTATATGAAGGCGAAACCAGATTTCAGTGCAAGCTTTAGTTACAATTCTTCTCTGCCTCCACTGCACACTAGTATGATTACCTGTTGCAGAGCCCCAGAGACAGCCCCACATGACTTGCCCTGCCACAGTGCTCCCACCTCACACCAGGTACTTAGATGGTCACCCTCCAAACTCCCTAGCTCCCCACTGGGACTCTGGTCCCCAGGGTCTCTGAGCACTGCTCCGTGTTTGAAACATGGAAACGAATGTTTTACGCAAACAACAGCAGTGTTAGGAAAATAAGGTACATTTGGAGAGAAAAGTGTTCAGTTTCTGCAGCGTCAGTACTCAAAATCAGCAGTGTCCTGCTTGTATCTGTGACTGCAACACCCATGGTAGCAAACACCAGTGTCAGCATCGGTGGTGTGGGTGGCTCCTAGTTCAGTATTGAGTCATATCCACATGCAGGAGAGGACCTGTCTCCACTTGATTCCAAATGCTTCATGTTCACATACTTGCAACCCCACCACTCATCATCACTGCACCTTCTATCCCATTCAGGAGATTCTACCAAGTGCTGGGCCAGAAATGCAGGTTCTGTTTTGTCTGGTCTCCTGCATTTTGTGCTGTGCAGGAAGTTACAGGAAGCAGAAACCAGATCCCAAACCTGCCTGGGATTGCTTGGAGCTGTCAGCTCCCTTATCTTCTTGGCATAATGCAAAATCAGGAATGTGACTTCCAGCCGCCATATCTCATCTGACATACCACTAGTGAAATGACTGCATAGGTTATATCTGAATGAATGATTAAGGCACCTTTTGGATTCTAATTCTAGGCAATTATTCACTCAGCGTGTGACTAAATTGAATCTTGTTTTGAGGCTCTTGGCAAAACACCAGGAACCAACCTGGGTCTTTGGATCATAGACTGAAGAGGGAATCCATATTTCAGAGAGAAAAGAAAGTAAATAAAAATGGGAAAAAAAGGGAAGGGTAATGTTTACTGGTAGCTCCTCCTCATCCCATCCCAGACTTCCTACAGCCCAGGAAGAAGTCGTGAACAACATCTTAACATTAATCCCCCTTTACATTCCCATCTCTTCCTTCTGCCCAGATACTCCTTCACTCCAAACCTTTCCACTCCAGAGCACTATTTAAAAAGAAGTATCGTCTTGATCAAGTCACGCTAAACAAAATTACACATACTGTGACACAATTACACAGTTCTTTTCTGCCCCTCCCTCTCCAAAACTGCCCTGTAGGAGTGGTTGGATTTGGTACTCACCCAGGCACCCAACCTTACTTGTTAGCCCGCAGCTCCCTGCTGGCACCCAGCTGGTGCACAGCCCACTGCCCCTAGACTTGCTCTCCCTGGAGTTACACACTTGCAGCTGAAGTTTTGGGTGAGGCTTTCAACACTGCAGAGGGAGGTAACACCTACCAAACTGTGCCTAGAAGGAAAGAAGGCAGCAGACACAGGGGATATGCCCAGTGAAGAGAGACTGTATGGCAGCCCTAGATAACTTGTTATGACTTTCTGGGTTTTCTTTGGCAAATCTCACCTTCCAGCTTTTGATGCCTTCTTATGCGCTACTAATATCACACCGTAAAAAAGCAATTTATTTTTTTCAGCATTATTTTTGCTAGATCGCATTACTTCCTTCAATAGTATGAGAAACCAGAAGAACACAAGAGTTTTATTGTGCACAAAACTGAGCTGAAGAAGCTCTTCTATATCGGCTGCTCTCTCAGACACACTCGAGTAGAATCCTCGGGGGGAATTTGGTATAGTGACAAGACTTTTGAATTTGATATAGTAACACTGCATTTCTCCTTTTCAAGGTGGGGAGACTTAGTCTGCTTTCTTTATTACTTCTTTCCCTGTTGTGCCTATTGAGGAGACAGTCCCCAGGATGGGAACAAGCCTGCTTCCCTGACCAATCAAATGAAGCGACCCCATCCCATTTTGTGCCACACGCTGCCAACTTATGTCCCCATACCATGTGCTCAGAAAGACTAAGGCTGCCAATGAATGTGCAGGTGTATTCTCTCCACTGGATTCTCTCCATGCTCCCAGATTTAGTGGGTGAAGTCAGATGGGCCATTTAATCTGAAGCTCTTTTCTGGGATACATTTGCAGCCACATGG